CATGGTAGATATTTAATTATAGTAATTAAAAGTTCTTCTTCATTTATAAGGAAGGATTGAAATGTGTTTAGTTCTGATTGGTCAATGCAGCTGAGTTCTGATTGGTCCATATAGCTGAGCCCTGATTGGTCAACACAGCTGAGCTCTGATTGGCTGAGGCAGATGAGCTCTGATTGGTTGTTTCAGGGAAGGGCTAAAAGTCTGAAAGATAAAAGAGGGCTGGCTTTCAGGGAAATCAGAGTATGTGTGTGAACCCCTAGTCAGCAAATGGCTGGTTGGTTCTATTTTACATTTAGGCCCAGTTAGCTGCTCAAGATCTATCTTGAAGGATTGGCTTTTTTCAGGTTTATGTTTGTTCACATATGAAAGGAAGAACACTCACTTTGGGGCTTGAGGGCCGCAGGGTTACAGTAGAGACAGGGATCAAGCAGAGCGTGTCTCCAGGGGCGTGTCTCCTGTGAGACACAGGATAATTGTGTTTGGGCAGTGGGAATGAGTGAAGAGTTTCAAGCAGGGCAGTGACATGATGAGGTTTTTGCTGGAGGTGGGTAACAGGTTGCCCATTGGATTGGAGGAGTGAGTGGAGGCAGGCAGGAAGGAGACTATGGCAGAATCTGCGCCAGAGGGGATTTGGGCCAGAACGAGGGCCATGGCAGTGAGTATGGAGAGAAAACAGATTGGAGAGTTATTGAGGACATGAATTAGCAGGATCTGCTCATTTCTTAGATGTGGAGATCGAAGAGTTCCAGGCTTGGGTGATGGTGGTACCAACAACAGGTTCAAAATAAAGAGAGGAAGTGGATTTGGCTGGGGAGCATTAGTTCAGTTTTGGACATGCTGAGGTTGAAGTGTCTATTCAGGGGGTGTGATATGTTAGGATGTGTGAAACCAAAACTCAGGAAACAGGTCAGGAGTGAAAATCTGGGAATCATGAGCCTATTGGTGGAGCTTAAAGGCTTGCCAGAGGATGCCATCACTCAGGGGCAGGATATGCAGTAAAACGGGAAGTGGACTAAGGATGGAACCCGCTAACCTTGACACAGATGAGCTGAATAATGAGAAACTCATGAGAAAGATGGAAATGGAATAGCCAGGGAGATTGGAAGAAAACCAGGAGGGTGTGCTGCGACAGCAGGCAACAGAGAAAAGAGTTCAGAAAGGAGGGAACATGGGAGTGGTTAGTATTTTAGAGGCAGGTAGGAAGGTGATGGTAGAGAATAGTTCAGTGTGGCTGGGCTTGGGGTAGAGAATAGTTCAGTGTGGCTGGGCTTGGGGCCATCATAGAGGAGTGGCAGGAGATGAGCCCAGAAAGGCCAGTCGGGCTCTTATGCAAGGAACTTTGGTCAAGAGGCTAGAGGTAAGGTTTCATTTTGTAGGAAAGGAAGAATCATTGAGGGGTTTCCAATAGGAGTAACATGGTCAGGTCAAGGTGTTTCAGAAAGGTCAGGCTGAGGCAGCGTGGAGGACGCTGTGGAGGAGGCAATGGCTCATTGAAGTAACGTAAAGTGGCTTTTGGGCTGTGAAAGAAGGCCCAGTCTTCCGAGATCTTTAGTGGGTAAAATTGAGATGCCTTGAAATGGGTAGTTAACAGTCACTGAGCACTGTTCGAAGTGCTTACATGAATGATTTTAATTCTCACAACCGACCTATGAGGTACATTAAGGTCATTTTACGTCCGAGGAAACAGGAACAGAGAAAGTAATGTGCTGAACAGAACTAATAAGTGGCAGAGCTTGGTTTCAAACTCAGGTGGTTTGGCTCAAACCTGAACTCTTAACTTCAGTGTTGTTTTGCCTTGATTTGAGGTGGGGAGTGAGGGGGTTGTAGTTCGTATTAGGTTCAGCTGTGAGTTGTTAGCCATCCAGAATAACAGTGGGCTTCGTCTCCGCTGTGTGACACTTGTCCTTTGATCATTGCATTTATGTTTCAAGCAGTAAAATACTGAGTAGAGGAAAGGGGAGAATAGATGTCGGGGGGGCAACAGAAGTCTCTGCTATAAAAGAAATCCCAGGTTGCTGACATTTGCATGGAGGATAATATTGCCACAAATTGGAGACCACAGGAAACCTGTTAGAACTTTATCATTTGATAGTTTCTTTTCCCAGCATCCTTCCTTTGCCCTGGAAATGAACCCTTCTGTGACTCCTCTGCTGTTCAGCCATTCAGTGCTCATGAGGGCTTCCAATTCATAGTACCTGTCTTTCTGGCCACAGTTGATTCCATTGGTTGAGGTGTGGGCATGTAGTCTAGGTCAGGACAATCAGAATTTTTTTCTTCAATTTTTAAAAAATTTAATTGAGGGAAAATATTGCCTCTTGCTTTTGTAGCACAGCTAGGAGATGCGTGGCCAGAAACTGCTGACAGCACTTTTTATAGCCACAGGGAGGAAACTTGTTTCAGAGAATGAAGTGAACTTGCAGGATAGGCAATTGAAAGATTCCTGTTCATGTTCAAGTCTCTGCTTGTACTTGTCCTTGAGGCTTATCTATTTATGATTATGTGAAACTTCCAGTAAATTCACTCTTTGGCCCAAATGGTGTTTCTATTACTTGCAGTCAGTAAAGTCCTAATTAAATCTGTGTTCAAATAGGTAATTCTGGAATCACTGTAGATGTGTTTAGGGTCTGTGTGTATGTTGGAGGTCATAGTAAATAGTAACCAGAAGCAGGGAGGGAATTTTTGAGCCTGTTTTAATGGTCTACATGAAAAACAATGAGAATCTGAACTAGGACAGTGTCAGTGGGTGCTGTAGGTCCTGGCCAGGCTTGCCATGCTCAGTCTCTTACTATCTTCTAGACTGTGAACCAGTCACCCACCTCTATAGGCTGCTCATCTTTACATGGCTGCAGTACAGCTGGGCACTATTCATTATGAGCATATTTTCCTCTGTGTCCTTGGGAATCATTATAGCTGCTTAACAATTCCTGTCAGCTAATCCTAATGTGTCAGTCATCCCGGGATCAGTCTTGATTGATTGCCTTTTTTCTTTGGTATAGGTAACATTTTTCTGTTTCCCACAGGAAACATGTTCAATCATTTTGACTGGTCTCAAACACTGTTCAGTCATTTTGACTTGTCTCCTGGCCATTGTAGAGGACATGTTCTAGAGAATCTGGATCCATTGTATTCCTCTGAATCAGAGTATTGACATTTTTGTTTTAGCAGCGTTTAACTTGACTACACTCAAACTCCATGCTCTGTCTCCCTCATGATAGGCAGTTACTGAAGTCTCTAGTCAGTTCTTTTAGCCTTATACAGATTGGAGACTGTCCCATGAATGTATAATTCCGAGGTCAGCCAGAAATTTGCATAGAGTTGTTACACAGAATTCAGGGCTCTGCCTATCTGGCTCTCTCCATTACAAAATTTCACCCCCACTCTACCTCCTCACCCCCAGTTTTCAGCTGCTGTGGAAACTCTGAACTCTGTCCTCTTGTCTTCAAGTTAGTAAGGTTCACCCATCAGGGAATTGACTGGGGCCTACCCTGTGGTTCAAAGTCTTAAAAATGGGAATCTCATCTAGTTCTGATCTCTTCTTTTAAATGTAGATTCTCCTCCAGTTTCTGCCTGCCTTGGGTTGCTTGTGAATACTTAGAGATAATTTTAAAAAATATTATGTCCAGAGTATATAGCTGTTACATTTGAAGGAGGATGGGTTTGATAGGAGCTATTTGGTCATTTACTAGAAGCCAAAACCTCTCTGGTCACTGTTGTATGACCTGTGGTGTGTGTAGTTAGAATGTGCTGGTAATGTATTAAGAAACTGTACACACGATCTGGATGTGAGATCCAGATGATAAGCTTGATAAAGGCAGCTTTTATAATCACATACACTAAATACAATGATGTTTCAGGACAGCATGTTCAGGGGTATAAGGAACTTGATTAGCCAGTAAGCCCCCACTTGGGGGTTCCCAGGAACTGAAGTAACCTCACCCTAGAAACAGCATCCCAATTTGTGTGCCTCTCCCCATGAGTTTAACTCCTTAAATGTCTCCTATCTTGATATCTCTGGATCACCTCTGCTTTACAAAAAAAGTATTTGAGTTTATTATGGTAAATATTAATTTCTATATGGTTTACAGATCAGAATGATGAACTGAGACCCCTGTCTAGTTTTCTGCCAGAGACCTAGTACTTAGGATGGAGAGGAGTAGATAAATTGACAAACTTTTCAGCAGGTTGAATGGTCAGGGATCTGTGACAAAGTGTATTCAGGAGAATAGAAGAGAGGGTAGAGTTAAGGATGACTTCCAAGTTTCAGCCTTGGGCATCTAGGTGGGTAGTAAATACAGGAGAAAAAAGACAAGGAAGAGAGCAAGCATAAGGAAGATGAATTAAGCTTTGGCTGTTTGAAGTACCTGCTGAACATCTGGATGAGTACATAAGATTCTGGATGACTGGAGAGAAGCCTGGGATGGTGATTTATATTGAGGAATCACCAATAGATAAGTGGTAGATGAGGCTATAGGTATAGTTGATATAACCAGGTAGCATATGCAGAGTGAGAAGAGAGCTGATAGCAAAGTCCAGTAGATAAGGGGAGAGCATAAGAAATAAGTCACTTTAGGAAAATGAGGAACAGACCAGGAAAGTTGATATACAGAAGCTAGGGGAGGAGAATTTCAAGAAGGAATTTAGTGGTCATTAGGGTCCAATTCTAAAAAAACAAGCAAAACAAGTACTGAAAGGCATCTATTGAATTTAACAACTAAATGGTCTGTCTTTACCTCAAAGATTACAGTTTCAGTGGAGTGATGGGGAAATGTGGCCAGATTGCAGCTGTTTGAGGAGTGCCCGGAGGTGGTCGTCTGTAACATGTGGCTCCTATCAACCAAGCTCCAAGTAACTGTACCTCTGTGGAGTGCCCCTATTGTTAAATCTGGTGGGCCTTGCACAAGGGTTTAACGGAAAGAATGCAAGGAATTAATGCTGCTTGACTTCCAAGGAAAGGTTGTAAGAATCCTGTAACTTTTGCCTTGGTCTTTTGGATCCGTCAGGAACCATGTAAGAAGTCTGATCGCCCTGCTGGAGAAACCAAATGGAGAGGTCCAGAGAGTTCCAGAGACAACATGGGGAGAGAGCGCACAGCCCAGCAGAGACCAGCTTTTCAGTTATCCCCACCAATGCGCCACACATATGAAGGAAGTCATCTTGACCCCTCCAGAACAACCAAGCCAACCAGCTGGATGATAGATATATGGGGATTCATTTTCCTAGTCTAATTTTGTATATGTTTGCAATTTTCCATAATAGAAGACTTTTTAAAGTGGTTCATTTTGGACTGCATTGCATTTACACTTTCTTTGATTCCTTACCAGCATGTGGAAGTCTGCAGCTGTCAAAGGTGTTAAGTTCTAGTGACGTTTTGGTACAAACAGCCATCCGCCACCAACCTACCACATATCCTTCTGGGGGTTACTAATCTAGTACTCACTCTCTGCTAGAACAGGAACAGTGACAGGCAGAATTGTAACATCAGCAGCTCTTTCTCTTGGAGAGAACCTCTGGGTCAGAGGCAATGGAATCCTGTATTATTTTGAGAGTCCACTGAGCCCAGACTAGCTGACTCTGTGAAAGTACGGTTTTAATGTGCATCTATGGCTTTAGCAGATGGTGACTTGGATTTGGTCCAAGGGTCCGTGGATTCCAATCACTTAACTCCAGCCTGGGTTGAGTCAGCAATCCAGAGAAAGGGCCTCTGTCAAGCAATTCTTAGGAGACCCAGTCTGTCCAACTAACCTTCATATATTCTTTCATAGCTATGTCTATTCTTTTATTATTATTATTATACTTTAAGTTGTATATTGATCATTTTAAGGATGTAACCAGATGCTCCCAGGAACCTAAACCTGTATTTCCACTAGGAGCAGTGGCTCAGTATTTGGTAATTCATTGCTTGAGGTGACCTTATAGAATATAACTACCGCAAATAATGAATCAAGTATACATACACATGTGTGTGTGTGTGTGTCTGTCTGTGTATTTTGGAGTACTCTAATGCAAACTGCTGACATCTTAACATTTTATCTGAAAATGTTTCAATATGTCTCCCTAACATATTGGTTCTTAAAGTGTGATGTGAAGAGTCCTGGTGACACCTGAGACTGAGACCCTTTCAGGTGTCTGGGAAATCCTTTTTCCAACTACATATCTCCATGATGTTGGATTTGTCTTCCTATACTTTATCCAAAACAGCATATTACAACATTAAATGAAGAAGCAAATATGAGAATCTAGCTGTCTTGTACTGAGGCAGACATTTAAAAGATTTTTAGAAATGTAAAACATTCCTAAATTCTTTGTTTTTTAAAATGCAATTATTTTAATAAAATTTTATTTATGATAATCAGTGGATTTATTATTGTAAATGTATTAATACATATTTTTTCTCGCTTTTTCCTTCTTTTCTTTTTCCTTCTTTCTTTACTTTTCTTTTTTGAGACAGAGTTTCACTCTTGTTGCCCAGGCTGGAGTGCAATGGTGCAATCTCAGCTCACTGCAACCTCCATGTCCCAGGTTCAAGTGATTCTCCTAACTCAGCCTCCCGAGTAGCTGGGACTACAGACATGTGCCACCACATCTGCCTAATTTTGTACTTTTTACTTGTTGGTCAGGCTCCTTTTGAACTCCCGACCTCAGGTGAGCTGCCTGCCTTGGCCTCCTAAAGTGCTGGGATTACAGGTGTGAACCACTGCACCTGGCCATTAATACATAGTTTTAAATTTTCAGTTTTGATGTCTAATATAGTAAATATTGATAGGTCTGTAACCTGCACTAGCAAAAGCTCTTTAGGGTCTAAAAATGTTAATATTTTTACCATGTGTATATAATTTTTATTTGTAAATATATTATTAAAATAACTGTCACATAAGACAATCCTTTTTGCAAAGAAGCACTGGTGCACTTCCTTTTAGCACTGTTTGTAAAACTTGTCAAAAGGAGGATGAATTTTTAAACTACCCCAGCTGTGCCTGGAGGACAGCTAACACAGGAAGAACAAGTCTAGCAAAAAAAATTCACCAAGGCTACTTTCTGCCACCATGGAATCCAACATTAATTTTTTTTTTTTTTTGACAGAGTCTAGCTCTGTTGCCCAGGCTGTAGTGCAGTGGCGCGATCTCGGTTCACTGCAACCTCCACCTTGCTGGTTCAAGCCATTCTTGTGCCTCAGCCTCCCAAGTAGCTGGGATTTCAGGCATGTGCTACCACACCTGGCTAATTTTTGTATTTTTAGCAGAGACTGCTTTTGCCAATATTGGCCAGGCTGGTCCCGAACTCCTGACCTCAAGTGATCTGCCCACCTTGGCCTCCCAAAGTTCTGGGATTATAGGTGTGAGCCACTGCTCCCCACCCCACACTAGTTTTTTAAAAAATATTATTTTAAAATAATTATAGACTCACAGGAATTTGCAAAAGTACGTAGAGTCCCATGTACCTGAAACCACGCTTCCTCTAATAGTGGTGCCTTATGTCATTATAGTACAATATCAAATCCAGGAAATTGATACAAGATTGTTAACTAGAATATAGACCAAATTTTCACCATGTTACATGCATTTGTGTGTGTGTGTGTGTGTGTGTGTGTGTGTATTGTTCTATGTGGTCTTATCCCATGTATAGATTTAACAATTACCACAGTCATGATATAAAACTATTCAATGACCTCCCTTTTGCTTCCCCTTCATAATCATACCCACCCTGCCCCATCTTTGCTCCCTGGTAATGATTAGTCTGTTCTCTATCTCTAAAATTTTGTAATTTCGGGAATGTTACGTAAATAGAGTCCAAAACTATGCAGTCTTTTGGGATTGATGTTCTTCACCAAATGTAATCCTTTCAAGTCACCTCTCGGTTGTTGTGTATATCAGTAATTTGTTTCAGCTGAGTAGTATTCCCTTAGGTGATAGACCAGAATTTCTTTATCCAATCACTAGTTGAAGAACATTTAGGTTGTTTCCTGGCTTTGCAATTACAGATAAGGCTGCTGTGATCATTAGCATGCAGGTTTTGTGTGACCATAAGTATTCACTTCTCTGGGATAAATGCCTAAGAGTGCACGTGCAGGATCATGTGATATGTACATGTTTAGTTTCATAGGAAATTGCCAGAATGATTTCCAGAGGCTTACCATTTCATATTCCTAACAGCATTGTATGAGATACCTGTTTTTTCCACATCCTTGTGAACATTTGATATTACTGTGTTTTTATTTTAGCCATTCTAATAGGTGTACAATGATAGCTTAGCTTATTGTGGTTTTAATTTGCATTTCCATAGTGACTAATGATGTTGAACATTGTTTTTCATGTTCTTTGCCATCTGTGTATTCATTTTGGTGAAATTTGCTCATTTTCTAATAGAATCTATTTTTTTCCTTTTTCTTGGAGACAGGGTCTCACTCTGTCACCTAGGTTGGAGCATAGTGTCGCAATTATGTCTCGCTGAAAATCTGACATGGACTCAAGTGATCCTCCTGCCTCAGCCTCCTGAGTATCCAGGACCACAGATGTGCACCACCATTCCCGACTACTAATTTTTAAATTATTTTTTTAGAGATGGGGCCTCACTCTGTTGCTCATGCTTGTCTTAAATTCCTGGCCTCACGTGATGCTCTCACCTCAGTCTCCCAAAGTGCTGGGAACAGAGGTGTGAACCACTGTGCCCAGCCTTCTAATGGAATCTTTAAGTCTTTTTTTACTGTTGAATTTTGAGAGTTTCTTTTCCTTCTCTGTCTCCTCCTAGCAAGTCCTTTTGCCCAGACTGGAGTGCAGTGACATGATTGTAGCTCACTGCAGCCTTGAACTCCTGGGCTCAAGTGATCCTCCCATCTCAGCCTCTCAAATAGCTAAGACTGCAGGCATGTGCCACCACACCTGGCTAATTATTTATTTATTTATTTTTGTAGAGACTGGGTCTCGTAATGTTGCCTAGGCTGGTCTCAAACTCCTAGCCTCAAGTGATCCCCTCGCCTCAACTTCCCAAAGTGCTGGGATTACAGGCATGAGCCACCATGCTGGGCCAGCTTGTCTATATCTATGAAAAATCTTCTGGGATTTTGATAGTAATTACATTAAATCTATAGATAACTGGGGAAAATTGACATATTTATTATATTGGGTTTTCCAATCACTGAGCACTGCGTGTATCTCCACATTTTCAGATCTTTGCAAGCTTTCTTTCATTAAGTTTTATGAAAAGGGTTGTACTTACAAACTCTCAGTGGCTTCATCCTGGTAGAGAACAGGAATGCTGCTTGCTCTGTGCACTCTGCAGCCTCAGTTTTCTCATTTGTGGTGACAGCTTTCTCATAAGCTCATGGTAAATATTTAAGGAGATGCTGAATGCCTGAGTCCTGCCTCCAGCATATGTGCTTTTCTCCTTAACTTCCCACTCATTACCTGTTGGGTCTTGAGTCTTCATCTGTGAACCCACATAGGATAATAGTGGGACTGACTTCCAAGGGGTTGTTGTGAGGAATGGGTATGAGAATTCAAGTTAAGCACCAAGGAGACTGCTGGACACAGTAGGGGTACCATAAGCAGTAGCTGTTATTACCCTATGATTGTCGTGAGGTGAAACTATAATTTCTTCCTTTCACTGAGAGAAAATTGTCAAGCAGCTGGTCCAAAGAGCATAAGCAGCACAAGGCAGGTAGCAGGATGTTGCTGAAGGTTTGGGACAGTGGAGCAGGTTTATTTTAGCACATCAGACAACACAAAAGAGAGTCTCAGAACCATGTGCATGCTATGACCCAACTTTTATAGAAAAAGAACAAGAATAGTTATGTTTGTGTTTTTGTAAAAGCAGATCTGGAAGAACACACCCCATACCAGACTGTGGGGAGCTGGGGAACTTTCACTTCTACTTTTTACCCTTTCTGTGTTTGAAAGTTATTTTTTGGTACAGGTCTGGTGGATCATGCCTGTAATCCCAGTACTTTGGGAGGCCGAGGTGGGCAGATCAATTGAGGTCAGCCTGGCCAACAAGGCAAAACCGCATCTCTACTAAAAATACAACATAATATTAGCTGGGCATGGTGGTGTGTACCTGTATAGGGAGGCTGAGGCAAGAGAATTGCTTGAACCCAGGAGGCGGAGGTTGCAGTGAGCCAAGATCACGCCACTGCACTCCAGCCTAGGCGACAGAGTGAGACTTTGTCACAAGAAAGAAAAGTTGTTTCTTTTTAGTTGAGTGTGTGCTACACTAAACATGTTCAAAAATTTATCACTTTTCAAAAGAAGACATATATGAAGCCAACAAACATATGAAAAAATGCTCATCATCACTGTTTATTAGAGAAATGCAAATCAAAACTACATTGAGATACCATCTGATGCCAGTTGGAATGGCGATCATTAAAAAATCTGGAGACAACAGATGCTGGAGAGGATGTGGAGAAATAGGAACACTTTTACACTGTTGGTGAGAGTGTAAATTAGTTCAACCATTGTGGAAGACAATGTGGCAATTCCTCAAGGATCTAGAAATAGAAATACCATTTGACCCAGCAATCCCATTACTGGGTATATACTCAAAGGATTATAAATCATTCTATTATAAAGACACATGAACACGTATGTTCATTGTGGCACTTGTTTATAATGGCAAAGACCTGGAACCAACCCAAATGCCCATCAATGATAGACTGGACAAGGAACATGTGGCACATATACACCATGGAATACTATGCAGCCATAAAAAGGATGAGTTCATGTCCTTTGTAGGACTTTCAACCTTTGACATGGTTAAATGTGGAAGCCATCATTCTCAGCAAACTGACACAAGAGAAAATAAACACCTTATGTTCTAACTCATAAGTGGGTGTTGAACAATGAGGACACATGGACACAGGGAGGGGAGCATCACACACTGGGATCTGTTGGCGGGGTGCAGGGGAGGGACAGTGGGGATAGTGGGGACATTGGGGAGGGATAACATTGGGAGAAATGCCAGATTTGGGTGATGGGGGGATGGAGGCAGCAAACCACATTGCCATGTATGTACCTATGCAACAATCCTGCATGATCTGCACATGTACCCCAGAACCTAAAGTACAAAAAAAAAAAAAAATTAATTGAATTTTTTTTTTTTTGAGACAGGGTCTTACTTTGTCACCGAGGCTTGAGTATAGTGGCATGATCATAGCTCACTGCAGCCTCAACCTCCTGGGCTCAAGTGATTCTCTTGCCTCAGCTCCCTGAGCAGCTAGGACTACAGGCATGTGCCACCAAGCCTGGCTAATTTTTTCATTTTTATTTTTTGTAGAGATGGGGTCTTGCTGTGTTGCCCAGGATGGTCTTGAACTCTTAGCCTCAAGCAATCCTCAGTCTCCCAAAATGTTGGG